ACCTCCAACAGGACTGATACCGCCAATACCTCCAACAGGACTGATACCGCCAATACCTCCAACAGGACTGATACCGCCAATACCTCCAACAGGACTGATACCGCCGACACCTCCAACAGGACTGATACCGCCAATACCTCCAACAGGACTGATACCGCCGACACCTCCAACAGGACTGATACCGCCAATACCTCCAACAGGACTGATACCGCCAATACCTCCAACAGGACTGATACCGCCAATACCTCCAACAGGACTGATACCGCCAATACCTCCAACAGGACTGATACCGCCAATACCTCCAACAGGACTGATACCGCCGACACCTCCAACAGGACTGATACCGCCAATACCTCCAACAGGACTGATACCGCCAATACCTCCAACAGGACTGATACCGCCAATACCTCCAACAGGACTGATACCGCCAATACCTCCAACAGGACTGATACCGCCAATACCTCCAACAGGACTGATACCGCCAATACCTCCAACAGGACTGATACCGCCGACACCTCCAACAGGACTGATACCGCCAATACCTCCAACAGGACTGATACCGCCAATACCTCCAACAGGACTGATACCGCCAATACCTCCAACAGGACTGATACCGCCGACACCTCCAACAGGACTGATACCGCCGACACCTCCAACAGGACTGATACCGCCAATACCTCCAACAGGACTGATACCGCCGACACCTCCAACAGGACTGATACCGCCAATACCTCCAACAGGACTGATACCGCCAATACCTCCAACAGGACTGATACCGCCGACACCTCCAACAGGACTGATACCTCCAACACCTCCAACAGGACTGATACCGCCAATACCTCCAACAGGACTGATACCGCCAATACCTCCAACAGGACTGATACCGCCGACACCTCCAACAGGACTGATACCGCCAATACCTCCAACAGGACTGATACCGCCAATACCTCCAACAGGACTGATACCGCCAATACCTCCAACAGGACTGATACCGCCAATACCTCCAACAGGACTGATACCGCCAATACCTCCAACAGGACTGATACCGCCAATACCTCCAACAGGACTGATACCGCCGACACCTCCAACAGGACTGATACCGCCAATACCTCCAACAGGACTGATACCGCCAATACCTCCAACAGGACTGATACCGCCAATACCTCCAACAGGACTGATACCGCCAATACCTCCAACAGGACTGATACCGCCAATACCTCCAACAGGACTGATACCGCCGACACCTCCAACAGGACTGATACCGCCAATACCTCCAACAGGACTGATACCGCCAATACCTCCAACAGGACTGATACCGCCAATACCTCCAACAGGACTGATACCGCCGACACCTCCAACAGGACTGATACCGCCGACACCTCCAACAGGACTGATACCGCCAACAGGACCGAAGCCTCCAACACCTCCAACAGGACTGATACCGCCGACACCTCCAACAGGACTGATACCGCCGACACCTCCAACAGGACTGATACCGCCGACACCTCCAACAGGACTGATACCGCCAATACCTCCAACAGGACTGATACCGCCAACAGGACCGAAGCCTCCAACACCTCCAACAGGACTGATACCGCCGACACCTCCAACAGGACTGATACCGCCAATACCTCCAACAGGACTGAAGCCTCCAACACCTCCAACAGGACTGATACCGCCAATACCTCCAACAGGACTGATACCGCCAATACCTCCAACAGGACTGAAGCCTCCAACACCTCCAACAGGACTGATACCGCCGACACCTCCAACAGGACTGATACCGCCAACAGGACCGAAGCCTCCAACACCTCCAACAGGACTGATACCGCCAACAGGACCGAAGCCTCCAACACCTCCAACAGGACTGATACCGCCAATACCTCCAACAGGACTGAAGCCTCCAACACCTCCAACAGGACTGAAGCCTCCAACACCTCCAACAGGACTGAAGCCTCCAACACCTCGACTGATACCGCCAACAGGACCGAGAGCCCTCCAACACCTCCAACAGTGACTCAAGCCTCCCAACCCTCCAAAGAATCTGCCCTGTTGCTTTCCAATCCCCAGAAGTCCTGGTGCGTCCCTCGACGTCTGACGCGGCTCCTGCATCGCCGTTGCCATTGTCGCTATCGACTCCGTTGTCATCAGCGCCGTTGTCGTCGCCTCCGTTAGACTCGCCTGTTGAACTGCTGTCATCAGCAGCAGCGAGAGCCAAGACTGCGATCAGTAGCCAAAACAACTTCATCTGAAATGAGAAAACGAAAAAGATAACATAAAAGCGTAAATGCGATAATCAAAGGAAACAAATTTGAGGCAGTTTGACGTTACGACTAAGTTTTCCCTTTGAAACCTTAGTACACAATTATTTGATATACCTTTTTGGTTACCATTATGATTCGTAACTGATGATAGACGGCAGCGTTCATCTCTTATATACTGCTTGGCGTTCACCTTGAAATCTAACTCACTGACCAGTCAGAAGGCACTGACATTTCCTTTTTTGTAATCATCATAACTAAGACTAAGACTGTGTTTATCTAAATGCATGTATTGCACCTCAAATACTTGCATATATGTATGCTTTGATATATGTGTATTTGTTTATATGGCTACACACATACGAGTATGTGTCTATATGTTTTTAAGTGTGTGTATTTATATACTTCCTAAAGAAGTACACAGTGTAAAGGTTTATGTATACATATATACATAAGTATATACACATATATGCCTATGTATATATACATATATACATAAGTATATACACATATATGCCTATGTATATATACATATATATGCACATATATGTGCATATATATACATATATAAATATATATTCTTTCACATGTATAAATACATATATATCTAATCATATATGTACACGTGCGTTTGTGCATAAGGATGTATGCATGCAGAAACATGGATACGATCTGCGCGTTTGCACACATATAATAGCCACTTACATACGCGCTTAGACAGATGTGAATAGATAAATGAATGAGTAAATACATACACATACATATATACACAAATTACGGTATGACCCTGCTGCGTTATTCACACATGAAGACTTCAGCGCGACCAGAGAAAGGTGTCCAAGGTAGCTGCAGGCTTGGTTAGTGTGGAAGCTCGACTGGAGCGGCCGCTCTGGCTCTTTCTTTTTGCACTGCGGGGCAAACGAACGAGAATATCTTTCTCTCGTTCTTCATCCCCCCTCTATGTATATATATATATATATAAGTATATATGTATATGTATATGCACACACACACACACATATATATGTGTGTGCATATAGATATACATATATATATATATATTCGTATATATATATATATATATATATATATATAAATACATGTATATGTATATATGTGTATTCACATATATATGTACACACACACAATATATATATATATTTATGTGTGTGTGCCTGTATGTGTATACATACACACATATATAGGCACACACATATATATTATGTATACACAGACACACACACATATATATATATTATTTACACACATACTCATACAAACATTATACATATATGTATATACATACATATCCACATGTGTATATGCATATTCATTTGCATGTGTGTATTTAGGAGAAAGCAACCTTGAGCAGAATCCTTTTTTTCACTGTTTTCACCCGGCATGCTTCGCTAGACCACCAAAGAGGAGGGACAATAGGTAGAAAGAGAATCAAAATCCAGTAAATTATTTCCCCCCTAAAATGTTGACGAAAGGGCAATGGATTTTAATGGATCTGCAATTGCCTTCGATTATTCCGCACATCTCTGTTTACTCGAGACAATCAGCTTACTTTTCGAACTTTCGTGTAAGAAGTGTACTCTTTTCTCTGTGGCTGGTTGATGTTCTCACAGCAGTAGGCCTGACCCTCGGGTGTCCTGCACCAGTAGCGGCATGTGGAGGGAGGAGCCACAGGACGGACGATACCTCCAATGCCAGGCCCAATGCCCAATCCTCCTCAATGAATAGGATTCACACCAAATCCTCCCAAGGCAGGATTTGCTCCAAATCCTCCTCCTACTACTGGGAGACTTCGCGATAAAGCTTACAACTTTCTGATTCTCAAAGACTTGTTCTAATCAAGTAATATCCGAATACCTGCATATCATTTACACAATGTAATGTCTCTGTACGGACGTTTCCTTTCTTTCTATATATGTACATTTAAATATATAATTATATATATACAAATATATACATACACGCATATATATGTATATACAAATACATATACATTCGAGTCAACTCTCCAGAGCACAGACCCGACAAAACTGGTACAGATGGCTATATGTTGCCCGTGCAGCTGGCCTCCCTTCTTCATATCACTGATAGTTAAGGGAAAGGCTTTACCAGAACAAAGATGGAATCATCGACGAACTAGTTATGTAATCCAGATTTAGATTTTCCCCAGGGTTTATTCTCTATGGTATGTATGTTTGTGCATAAATTCGCGTTTGTATACATGTGTATACATATATAATTTACTTATGCATATTCATTTAAACATGCAATCACATAATTGAACATGTATACACATGTGTACGCACATACACACACAGATATACATATTCATAAATATACTTATTTTACACTAATATTTATTCTAAAGAGAAACCACTATATAAGTATATGTATGTCTTATACAGACATACATATATTTACATACACATGTATATAAATGTACATGTATATTTGTATATATATACATGTAGAATTTATGTCGAACAAGTTACAAATAGGACAACACACACACACACAAACATTATATATATGTATATGTATGTGCATTGCATTGTATTTATTGTACATAGTGGGATTGATAATGATGCACGTAAACTTATGATATCCTTATATTTATATTTCATTTATATATTTACATTTTATGGAATATTTGCTTAACGTAGCACTGGTTCCAGTGTGGAACATTTGATAAAATTTTGCTTTTGGTATCATTTCAGGGCTTTATCGCCCAATGCCCAGAGGAGCCTTGCACACGTGCTCGCCGAGACATCTGTCGAAGCAGCACTTGTCGATGCCTCCGCAAGCGCCGTCGTTAGAGCAAGTGAAAGGTGGCTGGAAGCTCCTAAGAGGACACACTGGGCGAACGGGGGGACAGAATCCCGGTTTGACTACACCAGCAGCACTCTGTGGCTGGTTGATGTTCTCACAGCAGTAGGCCTGACCCTCGGGTGTCCTGCACCAGTAGCGGCATGTGGAGGGAGGAGCCACAGGACTCACGATGCCTCCAATGCCAGGCCCAATGCCCAATCCTCCTCCATGAATAGGATTCACACCAAATCCTCCCAAGGCAGGATTTGCTCCAAATCCTCCTCCTAGTACTGGGTTAACTCCAAATCCCCCAACAGGACTGATACCGCCAATACCTCCAACAGGACTGATACCGCCAATACCTCCAACAGGACTGATACCCCCAATACCTCCAACAGGACTGATACCGCCGACACCTCCAACAGGACTGAAGCCTCCAACACCTCCAACAGGACTGATACCGCCAACAGGACCGAAGCCTCCAACACCTCCAACAGGACTCAAGCCTCCCAACCCTCCAAAGAATCTGCCCTGTTGCTTTCCATCCCCAGAAGTCCTGGTGCGTCCCTCGACGTCTGACGCGGCTCCTGCATCGCCGTTGCCATTGTCGCTATCGACTCCGTTGTCATCAGCGCTGTTGTCATCGCCTCCGTTAGACTCGCCTGTTGAACTGCTGTCATCAGCAGCAGCGAGAGCCAAGACTGCGATCAGTAGCCAAAACAACTTCATCTAGAAGCAGAAAACAAAGATTACGTGCTAAGGAAATGCGATAAAAGGAAATATGTTTTGGGACACTAAAGTTTTTCTTTTGATTACTATATGATTATTTAATGTACCTTGTTGGTTACCAGTAGGATTCGTAAACTGATGATGGACGGCAGTGTTCATCCCTTATATACTGCTTAGCGTTTACCTTGAAATTGAACTTAATGACGGAGTACCAGGAGAAAGTGACTTTTTTATAATTATCTTTACTAAGACTAGGACTAGGACTAGACTGTGCATATTCATGTATATGTATATATATATTCATATATTTATATATATTGGTACAACAATATGTATATATGTATATATCTCTATATACACTCTTAGGTATAGATATATTTGGTAATCGATATATGTATTTGTATGCCTACATATATAGAAATAAGTATATACATAGGCTTATATGTGTGTACATTAACATATTTCTAAAAGGAGTACACAGTGTATATTTTTATATATACGCATATAAATATATGTATATGTGCACATATATCTAAATATATTTATATGTATGTATGGATATACATATATATATGTATGTATAGCGCTTGTATATACATATACTCATATGTATATATCCATATTTATTACACTATACTTGTACGCATAAGTATGTGAGATTGTGCATAGTCATGTGTACGATCTGGGCGTATGTGTACGCATAGCAACTACTCACATACACGTGCATATGTATAAAGAGTTAGATAAATGAATAAATGCACACACACACACACACACACACACACAAGAACTCATGGTATTGCACCGTTGGGTTTTACTTGGAGACTTCAACGCGGCCAGAAAAAGGTACCCAAGGCAGCCTGAAGAGTTGGTTAGTATGGAGACTTAACAGGAATGGCTGTTCTCGCTCCTCTTCGTATTGCTGAACATACGAACGAAAATATATATGCATATTATAGTTATGCATGAATATGTGTGCATATAGATACGTGTATATTATACATACACCCACCCACACACACGCACATGTATATGATATGCACTTGTGTATTATGCATATACATATTTATGTATATATATAAATATGCATAAATATACATGAATGTATGTTTTTTTTTGTCTATATGTACATTTATTTACATACATGTGTATATATATACATATATGTATACATAAATGTATATATATATATATATATATATATATATATATACATATATATATGTGTGTGTGTGTGCGCGCGCGTGTGCGTGTGTGCATTCACTTGCATGTGTGCATATAGGAGAAAGCAGCCTTGATCAGAAGCCTTTTTTCACTGTTCTCACTGCCACTGCTTCGCTAAATCACGAAAGAAGAAGAGGAAGAAAGAGACATTTTTTCCCCGGAACATGGAGCGAAAAGGGCAGCGGCCTTTAATGGACCTGCCTTTGCCTTCGACTATTTCCGCACATTTCTGTCTGCTCGAGGCAAGATTCGTGTAAAGATAACGTTTTCTCTGTGAATGTGAGACAACTTTCTAATCGTCAAAGATTCTTGTTCCATTTAGGGAATGTCCTAATACCTGCTTATCATTTCCACAGTCCATCGATGTATCTGTTCGCATGCTTTTGCTCTTTCGTTTTTTCTTTATTCTTCGCTCAGTATACGCAAACAGACACACACACACACGTATCTATTATTCTAT